CGGTACTTCTTCGTGAAGGACGAGGTGGACAAGGGCAAGGTCAACTTGACCTATTGCCCGACCGGTGACATGGCAGCAGACTTCCTCACGAAGCGACTGCCACGCCAGCAGTATCAACACTGCTCCGAACTCAGCGGCGTGGTCAAGCAGGTCAAATCGAGCTACGGCCAGGAGTGAAGGGGGGTGTTACGAATAGTACAATTTAATTGTTACTGAGCACTCCTCACCGCAGCAAAGAGAAGCACGCAGTATCGAAGCAAGAACGCGAACCGTCAGACGGTTGGAATTGACTCGAAGCGTCAGACAGTTGGGACGCATCTGGACCGTCGGAGCAGACGGCATCGGGCAGCTGCAGGCAGGATGGTTTCGGCGGGAACAGTTTCGTAACTGTACGCGCCGCACGGTTGGGAATGCATTTGAATAAGGGAATGTACCCCTTAGAGTACATGGCTAGTTAGGTCGCTTCGTATTCCCCTGTACTCTTATTTATATCGCTGTATTTGCATGTTTTTATCATCTCAAGCATCTTACATTCACTCTGCTATTGAGGTCAAGGGCCCACCAACTATCTACCTACGTGCGAACCTTCCCGAGTAGATCCTGGTAAGCGATCTTTCTCTGATCGTAGCATTTTGTGAGCTTATCATGGTTTTCCAGCTAGAACAAAGGCTTAGATTATGGCCTTCAAATATGGGAGGGAAAGATATGCAATCTTGTATGCTAACTACTAATCTAGAGAAGTACTGATGCTGTATATCGTTAGTTCTTACACCTTTTGAATTATTGAAGGTATCCGCGTTTCCTTGCTGTGGAGATGAATTGGATCGGGTTGGTTGAGGCGAAATTATTGCGGCTCGAATCGAAACTACGAAGCGCACCTGGCTGACGTTGCTGCCAGCACCATCTTCCAATCACGTGAATAGTAGTCTTGGAACGTGTTGTTTTGGAAATCCCAAGGTTGGAACGCGGAATGGTGGATGGTGCACCAACCTTGGGAGTTGTTCGCGGTGGAAAGGAGTGGCAGCAATCCTGACCATCGACTGATTCGGAACTCGTAACATCTTCGGCTGAGCGGAGATCCGGGCGTCAGGGTGGAAGAGAGATGAATCGAGGAGAGATCGAGGGTGGCCGATGAATGGTCTAGTCTCACATCAGCAAGTGCCATCTGCGATTATTCATTCAACAGATCGAGAAACACACTACTGAACTCCAGAGTTGGCTCTGGAGTAAAAGCAAGTTCTTCCTCATACATGGTCTCGAGGAATAGCGTTAGACGCGTCGATTCAATGGGAAGAAGTGTAACGAAGGCAGGTCGCACCATCAGTTGTGCACAAGGCCGATGCAGATTTTTCAACCGGACTTGGGTCAGAGGAATCGAAGGATGCCAGTTGAAATGGTCTAGAACCGCGTTCCCTCACCCTCGCGTTCCTGGTACCATAGGAGATCCTATGCGCTGATCCATTTCCTTTGGTCGATCTAATCGCTTGCACGATGGTATCATAGATGGCTCCGACACGCTCCTTTCATTATGAACCTCGAACGTGTCACGACTTTCCCTTTGCGGATCTTTGAAATTCTCAAATCCCGGCGAACGTGCCGGAAGGATTCTACCTGAAAAAGCTGCAGTCCAGTGAAGCAATGTTGACCCTAACACCCGGAACCTAGATTGTCATGTCTTACTCTGTTACTATGACCCTGAAATGTAGCATCTCTAAGAATGAGCAACCCCCCTAACTTAGGGGATAATGAAGCCGAGGCTACCAACTCGCCACCAAGCCCTTCGCATTACGACGAGTACGGCACGCAACAAGATCTGAGGGATTCGCTGTACAATATAGTGCAAACGTGTCGCGATGACCAAGCAGAGCAGCATGAGACGCCGGGAGATGTTAGGAGGACAGTCGATCGGAGCACTCGGCCGCTATACTCGCAGGAATGCGGCGGTGCCGTGGCGGAAAGGGGGGCGACGGCCGTCAGTGGGAGCGAGGGGGGGTCGAGAAGTGAAGAGCTGCGACTTGGGGGTAGAGAGAGCCTCGACTTGAAATCATGGCTCGTCAGCAGTATAGGTCCAGGCCCCCATGCTGCTGCTCGTGGAGCCGCTGCTGCTGCGAATCTCGTTGCTGCTGTTGCTGCTGCTGCTACTGCAGCGCCTCCTGCTGCTGTGTCACGTGCTCTTGAGTCTGCTGTACCTGTCGAAGGACCTGATGTCGCTTCGATTTTTGCCGCTGCTGCGGGTTTTGCTGCTTATTCGGGATTTGCTGCTTCTCTGGCTGCTGCTCCCGGGTTTGCTTCTGCTCCGGCTGCTTCTGCCGGGTTTGCTGCCGCTCCCGCGTTACAGGCTCCTGTAAGCAGAGGTTCTCCGTCCGTTGCTGGTTCCGAATCAACGGCTCCCGAGGCAGGAGGTAGCGGTATTGCATGGGGAGAAAGTAGGAAGCGCCGGCGAGAAACGGTAGAGAGCGGTGGAATTCGAAGCCGGAGCGGAGGGGCTGGGCGTAGCGGAGGAGGTGAGGGGAGCGGAGGTGGTGAGGGCGGCGCAGGACGTGAGGGGAACGTGGGACCGGAGCGGAGCGCAGGAGCTGAGGGAAGCGGCGGCGCGGAGCGGAGGGGTGGCGCGGAGCAGTACGGCGGCAGCGGGGGACGGAGACTGGTAGATCTGAGCGACGATGATTTGCAGCAGCTCACGCGGGAAGAATGCCGCCGGCTGCTTCAGGAACAAGGTTGGTGTGGCGTTCACGCCGGGGTACGGCGAGGTTCGGCCGCGTTGCAGGGCCCAAGGACCAAGGTTGGTGTGGCGTTTCCTCGTGGTACGTCGCGGTACATCGTGGTGCGTTGTGGTACGTCGGGGTCTGGCCCCGTTTCAGGCCCCAAGGAACAAGGTTAGTGTGATGCCATGCTGTGGCTTTGGCCGCGAGGCAGACCCACGACCAACTAGGAACTGGGAGCTGCGAGCTCAGAGCCTATTCATCCCTCCTACAGGTGCGCGATTCGCCCTAGCTTTTCCATTCATCACTCCTACCTGTAAGCATACGATGGCAGCTGGTGACAAACACTTGATTCAGCAATCACCCGCCCTGGTTTCGTTATGCATGCGTGTCCCATCCAACAGAGTTCGCTCGTGGGCTAACTCACCACGCGCCGCAGCCTTTGCCCCTAGCGGTGCCTCATCTTGGGGCGTCGATTTTTTCTCTCTGATCCGCGCATTTCCCCTGTCCACCGCACTTCCCCGCCAGGGATGCGACGGCCGTCGTGGACAAAATCCTTCGCCGTGCAGCACAGCAGCTCGCCGCCCTTCAATTCATGACGCACCGCTTCCTTCCCCCTTTAATGTGCTGAAGACTCAATTTCTCCAGCTAATCCGCGCCTTCTACTGTCTTCCACTCCCCCCATTCCAGGCATGCGACGGCCGTCGTCGACGAAATCCTTCGCCGTGCAGCAGCTCGCCGCCCTTCTACTCATAATGCACCGCTGCGCTTCGTTTCCCCCTTGTCGTGCGCAGCGACTCAATTTCTCTCGCTAATCCGCGCCCTCTACTGTCCCACATCCCGTTTCCCCACCAGGCATGCGACGGCCGTCGTGGACGAAATCCTTCGCAGTACAGCAGCTCGCGGCCCTTCGCGAACTTTCGCTGCTGCCGTTCCCACTCACCGTGCAAGCGCGTCAACGCGAACCGACTGCTGCTGCGGGAGAGGGAGAGAGAGCAGCTAATACAGGGGAAGATAGGGAGGCAGAAGCAGGACGGATTGAGCATGATCGGCAGGAAAGGAGGGAAGCAGGAGGGATACAGCACAAGCGGCAGCAAGAAAGGGGAGAAGAATCTCGCGGCGAGGGGCGGCAAGACAGGGAAGGGGAGGCGCAAACATCGGCGGATGCGCAAGCATTGGCGGCGGCGCAAGTTTCTGCGGAGGCGCAAGCCTCCGCGGAGGCGAGACTAGCGTTTGCGGAATCGTATTTGCTGGTAGTTCTTTTTTGCCTTTTTTGCACAAGTTTCGAATCAAGTTTATTACCTTGCGCCATCCTCCTTTTGTTCCTCCCACCTCACCCTTCCCCTTCTTCGTCCTGTCCCTAATCCAACTTATCGTTTTTTAGGCTGCTATGCGCTTCATTATTTTTATCATATTTGTGTGTGTGTGTGTGTGTGTGTGTGTGTGTGTGTGTGTTTTTTTTTTTTTTTTTTTTTTTTTCTCCCCCAAACCCACATTTGCAATCTGTAACATTCGATCTTCGTTAACTTCAATCCCCTCTTCTCTCCCGCATCCCTCCCCCTCTGCCCGTCCCTTTCCTCCTCTCCGCTCGTCCCGTTGCCCCTCTCTGTCCGTCCCTCTCCCACTTACCGCCCGCTCAACCCTAGCATGTCCTGCAAGAGCGCGCCCAGCGCGCGCAAGCATCCGCGGACGCGGAAGCGCCCAGGCGCGCGGGCGAACCTGGGCGCGCGGAAGCCTCTGGGCAGGCGGAAGGTTCTGCGCGCGCGGAGAGCGTGGCGCACGCGGATCAATCAGGGCGCACGGAACCATGTGAGGGCGGGGCGGGGGCCTTGAAACGCCCGAAATCGCCTGGTGAGGGGGAAGCGGAAACGAACGTCCGCCCACATGCTTCCACACTGCAAGGGGGGATGAGCGGGGAACGGGACGGGGGCGGAATGGGGGGGCTGCTGATGGGGGCGCGCGTGGGGGAGATTGGGAGTGGAAGCGGGGAAAGGGGAGAAGTCGGAAGTGTTGAGGGGCATGGGGAAGGGAAGGGGGGACGGGGTAAGGGGTTGGCGGAAGAGAGGGGGGAGGAGAGGGGGTGGGTGTGGGGAAGGATTGACTTGGAAAATAGTCCCGAGAAGGGGGAAGATTCTGAGAGGGAAGGTTCTGAGGGGGAGCAGCAGGAGGGAGGGGTGGGGAAGAGGGTTGAGGAAGGGGAGGGAAGCGAAGAAGGGGAAGAAAGAGAGGAAGGGGAGGATGGAGAGGAGGGAGGGGAGAGTGAAGAGAAGGGGGAGAAAGACAACGAGGAGGATGGGGATGGGGATGGGGATGGAGGAGGAGGAGGAGGAGGAGGGGGAGGAGGAGGAGGAGGAGGAGGAGGAGGAGGAGGAGGAGGAGGAGGAGGAGGAGGAGGAGGAGGAGGAGGAGGAGGAGGAGGAGGAGGAGGGGGAGGAGGAAGGGGGGAAGGGGGCAGAAGAGGAAGCGACAATGATGGCAGCAGTAGGGGCGGGGGCAGAAGCAGAGGCAGTGGTGGTGATGGTGATGGTGATGGTGGTGGTGATGGTGATGGTGATGGTGGTGGTGGTGGTGATGGTGATGGTGGTGGTGGTGGTGGTGATGGTGGTGGTGATGGTGATGGTGATGGTGATGGTGATGGTGGTGATGGTGGTGGTGATGGTGGTGGTGATGGTGGTGGTGATGGTGATGGTGATGATAGTGGTGATAGCGATGGTGATGAGAGCGGTGATGGTGGTGATGGTAGTGGTAGTGGTGGTAGTGGTAGTGATAGTGATGGTGATGGTGGTGGTGGTAATAGTGATGACAGTGGTGGTGTGGCTGCTGCTGCTGCTGCTGCTGCTGATGCTGATGCTGGTGGTATGGGTGGAGGTTCGGCTGTGCACCCAAGTCTGGAGGCAGGCATGGCGCAGAGGCTCGGTACGACCGCACCTGCAGGCATGGCAGCTCACACGTACGGTTTAGAGTCTGGCCCGGAAGCAGTGGCATTGAAAGATCAGGAGGGCGTGCAAGGGGTGACGGATGGGGAAAGAGGGGGGCATGGGGGGATGGTCAGAGAAAGGAGAGAGCAGATACGGGCTGGAGATGAAGGCACAGCAGATTTGAAGGCGGTGGTAACAGCAGTAAGAGCAGCGGCAGCAGCAGCTGGGGAAACAGGAGAAACAGCAACAGGAGCAGCAGCAGAAGCGGCAGGAGAGACAAGGGACACGCAGCCACAGCAACAGAGAGCGCTACAGCAGCAACAGATAGAGCTTGAGTCTCTAGCAGCCGCTGAGTTGGGTATTCCGCCTCTACCCCGGTTCAACACCCCCCCTGAACTCGCCTCCGCGTTTGCCGCTGCTGTGGTGGCTGCTGCGGCTACCACTGCTCCTGCTGGTGCTGCTGCTAGTGCTACTGCTGCCTCTGGAGCTGCTGCTTCTCTTGCTGTTGCTGCTGCTCCTCTTGCTGTTGCTGCTCCTGCTGTTGCTGCTGCTCCTCTTGCTTTTGCTGCTCCTGCTGTTGCTGCTGACAGTGCTACTGCTGCCTCTGGAGCTGCTGCTTCTGGAGCTGCTGCTTCTCTTGCTGTTGCTGCTGCTCCTTTTGCTGTTGCTGCTCCTGCTCCTGCTGTTCCTTGGAGAGGGAGTGGGGTAGGGGCACAAGGAACCATAAACCCCTATGTGCAACGGAGAGGTGATAAGAAGACTGATTTGAGTGGTGACAGTAAGGAGGGTGAGAAAGAGGAGGGCGAGGAAGGAAAGGGTGAGAAAGAGGAAGTTGGGAAAGGGGAGGGTGGGAAAGGGAAAGGTGAAGAAGGGGAGGGTGACAAAGGCGAGGGTGACAAAGGCGAGGGTGACAAAGGCGATGGTGACAAAGGCGAGGGTGCTAACAGCAGCTCCGAGGACTCTCCCTGGCGGTCAGTTGCAAATATTTCGCCACGGAGACAAGAGCTGCCCGACCAGGCAGAGCCTGCCCGAAAAGAGCTGCTAGAACCTTCTACCGACGCTTTTTCTTTGAGGCAGCAGGAGCGGCATGAAGCTGTGGGAGAGGGACTGCATTCGACTTTTGAGGCGCCTCAGAAGTCTTTGCCTAAGCGGCATGAAGCTGTAGCAGAGGGGTCACATTCGACTTTTGAGGCGCCTCAAAAGTCGTTTTCTTTGAGGCAGCAGGAGCGGCATGAAGCTGTGGGAGAGGGGCTGCATTCACCTGCTGTTGCTGCGGCTGTAGCAGAGGGACTGCGTTCACCTGCTGCTGGTACGGCTGTAGGAGATGGGTTGCCTACTATGGCTATCCAACGGTCTGCAAGTCTGACTGTTCGTCTGTTTGGCTCTTCTCTAGTGGAAGGCTCACTGGTGGGACGAGGGCAAGGGGAGGGCAATACTCCCACTCCCACTGTCGCCCCTGATGTTCCTGCTGGTGCTACAATTGCTGCCGCTGCTGCTGGTGGCGAAAGTCCTGGAATGTTTGCAGTAGCAGCAAGAGCAGCAGCGTCTGTGGCTGAAGGAGTGCCGGCAGCAGCAGTATCTGTGACAGGGCAAGGTGCTTTAGCCACACGGGTTGTTTCAGGAGCTGTAGTATCAGCTCCTAAAGGGCAAGGTGCCCTTGGTACTGAAGGATCGGCATCAACACACAACTTAAAATCAGCAGCAGCAGGCGCAGTAGGAGCAGGGGCAGCAGCAGCAGCAGCAGCAGCAGCAGCAGATGAAAGAGATGCAGGGGCAGGACCGATGGGTAAGCCAGCAGGGCGAGCACCGGTTGCACCAACAGCAGAAACAGCAGGTGTAGGAGCAACAATAGGGCCTTTGTCAATCCCAACGGAAGCACTGGCATCACCTGCACCAATCCCTGCTCCTGCGCAAACATCAGTGGTGCCTGTGGCAGCTGTGGCGCCTGTAGCAGCCGTGGCATCTGTAGCAGCACCTGTTATGATTTCTGAAACGCCTGCAGCACTCCTCTCAACGCGTGCTGCACCCCTTTCAACTCCTGCAGCACCCTTTTCAGCGCCTGCAGCACCCCTTTCAGCGCCTGCTGCACCCCTTTCAACGCCCTGCAGCACCCCTTTCAACGCCTGCAGCCGCCCAGGCGTTCCGCATGCCAGCAGAGTCAATCCGAGTTGCAGAGCGACTAGCTGCCATCCCCATCCCTGAAGCCCTCTCCAGACGCTTCGCTGCCTCCTCCTCTGCGAGACGATTTGGCTTTCCTGCACCAGCAGCAGCAGCAGCAGCAGCAGCAGCACCAGCAGCAGCAGGAGGAGGAGTAGGGGCAGCAGCAGCAGCAGCAGCAGCAGCAGCAGCAGGAGCAGCAGCAGGAGCTGGAGGAACAGCAGCGGCTGCGGCACCAGCAACAGCAACCATCGCAGCAGCAGCTGTAGCCGCAGCAGCTTCTGCAGCAGGAGCTTTATCTGCTGCGGGTGTTACTGCTCCTATATCTGGCGCTCCTACTGATGCTTCTGTCACTGCTGCTGCTGCCACTGCTGCACTGGATGCCTCTCCTCCGTCCTCCCCTGCCGTGGCTGTGTCAACTTTCCCTGCCCTTCCTGCCGTGCCCAAGGTGGAGCCCTCATCTGCTTCCACATCCGAGTGAGTCGTTTTTCCACCCAGACATTGCAGTGGGTGCAGTCAATGGAAGGCTAGAGATTCACTTTTCCGTCCACTCTGTTCAATGCCTTCTCATCCCGCCCTTGCTGCTGTACCCAAGGTGGAGCCCTCATCTGCGTCCACATCCGAGTGAGTGCTCCCAAACATTGCATGCAGACATTGCACCCTTCCGCGTGTTTGAAGAAGTGTTTTGAGACGTCTCAAAACATTGCATTGCACTTGTGACAAGTGAGCAGCACCCTTCCACCTGTCACACTTCTGACAAGTGAGCAGCACCCTTCCACCTGTCACACTTGTGACAAGTGAGCAGCGCCCTTCCACCTGTCACACTTGTGACAAGTGAGCAGCGCCCTTCCACCTGTCACACTTGTGACAAGTGAGCAGCACCCTTCCACCTGTCACACTTGTGACAAGTGAGCAGCACCCTTCCACCTGTCACACTTGTGACAAGTGAGCAGCACCCTTCCACCTGTCACACTTGTGACAAGTGAGCAGCACCCTTCCACTTGTCACACTTGTGACAAGTGAGCAGCACCCTTCCACCTGTCACACTTGTGACAAGTGAGCAGCACCCTTCCACTTGTCACACTTGTGACAAGTGAGCAGCGCCCTTCCACCTGTCACACTTGTGACAAGTGAGCAGCACCCTTCCACCTGTCACACTTGTGATGAGACGTTTTGCCAGACGTTTTGAGGCGACTCTCGAGTTTGCTGCTCTGTTCGTTTTGGTAGGTCCGAAGGTTGCTGCTCTGTTCCAATGCCCTCCATGTATCCCACTCCTCTCATGTCTGCTCAAGCAGAACTGGACAAAGTTTTGAGGCGCCTCAAAGATTGCTGCTCTGTTCCAATGCCCTCCATGTATCCCACTCCTCTCATGTCTGCTCAAGCAGAACTGGACAAAGTTTTGAGGCGCCTCAAAGATTGCTGCTCTGTTCCAATGCCCTCCATGTATCCCACTCCTCTCATGTCTGCTCAAGCAGAACTGGACAAAGTTTTGAGGCGCCTCAAAGATTGCTGCTCTGTTCCAATGCCCTCCATGTATCCCACTCCTCTCATGTCTGCTCAAGCAGAACTGGACAAAGTTTTGAGGCGCCTCAAAGATTGCTGCTCTGTTCCAATGCCCTCCATGTATCCCACTCCTCTCATGTCTGCTCAAGCAGAACTGGACAAAGTTTTGAGGCGCCTCAAAGATTGCTGCTCTGTTCCAATGCCCTCCATGTATCCCACTCCTCTCATATCTGCTCAAGCAGAACTGGACAAAGTTTTGAGGCGCCTCAAAGATTGCTGCTCTGCTCCAATGCCCTCCATGTATCCCACTCCTCTCATATCTGCTCAAGCAGAACTGGACAAAGTCAACTAAGTCAACAGCCCGCTCACCTAAAGGGGAGGGGGCACCTGGGGGAGGCGTTATCTTCGGATGCGTCAGGCAGAGAGGAAGGGCGCGGGAGGGCTGTGCCAAGAGCAGGGCGGCGGGGGAAGAGGAAGGAGCGAGAAGCAAGCGGGGAGAGGGGGAGAAGCGAGGGGAGAAGCGAGAGGGGGAGGGGAGGAGGGGACGGAATGAGGGGAGAGGAGGTATCAGGTGGAGGAAGAGGAGGAAGGGGGAGGGCGGAAATAGATGCAGTGGAAAGCCGCCGACAGCAGGATTTGAAACCAGGACCTCAAGCATCGGCACCACAACCATTACCATCACCTCTTGAAGTAGCAGCAGCAGCAACAGCAGCTGTTGGGAGAGGGAGCCATGAGGTTTCTCACCCACTTGTACCGCGAGCAACCGTTGCTCACCCAGCCATTCCTCGAGCCCATGGCATGAGGCTACCTCGGGGCGTTGTGCAGGCAGCAACAGCAGCAGGAGCAGCAGCAGCAGCAGTATCAAGAGGAGCATCGCCTGCAGCCACAAGAGGGCCTACAGCAGAACCAGCAGCAGCAGCAGCAGCAGCGCCAGGAAGGGGAAAGCGCGGAAGAGGAGGGGCACGGGGCCGGGCTGGGAGTGCCAAGTGTGCCTACCCCAGTTGTACCTCCCCCAGTTGTACCTCCCCCAGTTGTACCTCCCCCAGTTGTACCTCCCCCAGTTGTACCTCCCGTGGGATCCTCTCAGCTGACGATCTTCTATGGGGGGATGGTCCACGTGTACCAGGACGTGCCTTCAGACAGGGTGAGTTCTTGTTGTGATGGCGTGGTATGGCTCCTTTTGACCCTGTGTCTGGATTGCATCTTCTATGGGCGGATGGTCCACGTGTACAACGGCGTGCCTTCTGATAGGGTGAGTGCTTGTTGTGTGAGAGTGTGTGTGTGTTGAGTCAAAAGAACCAGATAACCATTTCAGATTTGAACTTGCCCCTGCTGTGTCATGAGATGTTTTGAGACGTCTCAAAACATCTCTTTTATCACGTGTGTGTTGAGTGAAAAGAACCAGATAACCATTCCAGTGTCCTTCCAGATTTGAACTTACCCCTGCTGTGTCATGAGATGTTTTGAGACGTCTCAAAATATATCTTTTATCACGTGTGTGTTGAGTCAAAAGAACCAGATAACCATTCCAGTGTCCTTCCAGATTTGAACTTACCCCTGCTGTGTCAGGCCCGGGCGAGATAATGCTTCTGGCTGATACCTCCACGCTCTATCTTTTTTCACTTTGAAAGAACTAATGTATCGATCCAGTGTCTTTCCATGATCGAACTTATCCCTCCTGTGTCAGGCCCAGGCGATAATGCTATTGGCTGGATCAGGCACCACCGCCTCCTCCTTCCCTCTCCCCCCCAATCTCCTAACCGCGCAGCACTCCTCCATCTCCACCCCTCGCAGCCCTCTCCCTTCTCCCTCCTCCCTCACTCCCCCACACCCGTCCTCTCTCCCTTCACCCAGCCACCATCACTCACTCGCCTCTGGCCCCTCCTCCTCCTCTGCCCAGTACATTTCAGCGCTGCTCTCTTCTCCATCTCACTCTGCCCTCCCCTATGCTTCTGCTCCTTCAGTCTCCTCTCTGTCTGCCGCTCCCTTCTCGTCGCCCTCTGTTGCTCCCTTCGCTTCTTCATCTGCTCCTCCCCTCGCCTCCTTGTCGTCCCAACCCTTGAGAGCAATGGATAAGCAAGAGAGGGGAAGAGGAAGGGGAGAAAGCTTTGGTGGTGGGGACAGTGGTGATGCTGCTGCTGCTGGGGGTAGTGGGGGCGGTTCTGGTGGTGACGATGATGGTGATTTGACAAGGGAGCAATTCTCTATTCAAAAACAGCTGCACCATCGCCATTGCAACTGGCAGCAGCAACAACAGCAACAACATCAGCAACAGCAACAAGAGCAGCAGGAGCAACAGCAGCGGAACCAGAAGCAGCAACAGCAGCACCAACAACAGCCGAGCCCCCACCAGCATCCCTCTGCTAGCATACCCTCTCACTCGCTCTCCCTCTCTCCCTCTCCTCCTCCTCCCCACTTCCACGCCTCTCCTCCTTCACCATCTCATGCACCCACTGTGCATGTGTATGTTCAGTACCCAGGCTCCCACCTACCTCCCTCCTCTTGGCCCTCAGTTCAAATATCAACAGCAGCAGCAGCGCCAGCACTACCACCCGCAGCAACACCTGCGGGAGCAACAGCACAACCACAACACCCGCCACCACCAGCACTATCCACAGCAGCAGCAGCAGCTGTAGAAGGAGAGGGGGCAGGCTGGCATTTCGCACCCTCCCAGCTCCCACCATCCCTCAAGCATAGCATGTCTCTGGAGGAGCTAGGAGCAGCCCAAGGAGGAGGGGGAGGAGGGGGAGAGGGGGGGGGGAAGAGAGGAGAAGAAAGGAGGAGGAGCTGGAGTGACCGCAAGAGTGGTTGAGAGGGAGAGAAGAGGAATGACTGATGGGGGGGGGAGTGGAAGCATGAGTGGGAGTGGTAGTGGGGGTGGGAGCAGGAGTGGGAGTGGGAGCGGGAGTGGAGGGAGGGGGGGGGGGGGTAGTGGAGGGAGGGAGTGGGGGTAGTGGCGGTGGGGTAGTGGGAGTCGTGCATATGCAACAACGAATAAAGGTAAGATACTTGCACTCACAAATAAGATTGTGGATATTTTTTCTTCTTAAAAACGATGTTGTTTCTAAATAGTTGGTAAATTGTTGAAACAACTGAACTTGTGTATAGGCATCATATCTAGGCATTCCAGCAGGAGCTAATTGGCTCATGATCGGGGTAACTTTGTCACGGCGGCTAAAAAAAAGGGCATCAAACCCATTACTATTGTGTCTAACCCTCTTGTGTGTTATTTGCATGGTTGTTACAAAGAGCTCCCTCCGGCGTCGGGGAGACAAGCATCGATTGCGCGATACAAGGAGAAGAAAGGAAGGTGAGAAATGATAGAGAAATGATAGAGAAATGATAGAGAAACGATAGAGAAATGATAGAGAAACGATAGAGAAACGATAGAGAAACGATAGAGAAATGATAGAGAAACGATAGAGAAATGATAGAGAAATGATAGAGATTACACCATGTCATTGTAGGCATCTCAAACCCTCTGGGCCATCTCGATCTCGCATAAAAAAAGCAGCTGTAACATAAATCAGTATGATCGTTACCTGCGAGGCAGTTCAGGCTGAGGAGGTGAAACGATGTGCAATGTTACTTCATTCTTTTTTTCTTTCTTTCTTTCTTTTTGATGGTTGCAGGACTAAATCAAGGCTACACGTGTCATCTCGACGCAGTAACCCTCGGTCATCATCACCGTCGCCTCCTGTTTCACACTCCCCTGCTTCTAGCTCCATGGCACATGGTCGGCACACTGTGAGCACCGTGAGCACTGTGCCTCTTGAACTTAGGGAGCTGCTGCAGCAGCAAGCAGCAGCAGCAGCAGCAGCAGCAGCAGCAGCAGCAGCAGCAGCAGCAAGCATATATTCTGCAAGCACAACAGCAAGCACAGCAACAGGAGCAACAGCTGCAGCAGGCACAGCAGCAGCAGCAGCAGCAGCAGCAGCAGCAGCAGCAGCAGCAGCAACAGCTACAGCAGGCACAGCAGCAGCAGCAGCAGCAGCAGCAGCAACAGCTACAACTGCAAGCACACCAACAACAGGCACAGCAACAGCATCAACAGCTACAGCAGCAGCAGGTACGGCATCCCCAATATCAACAGTATGGGCCACAGCAGCATATGCAGGAGCAACCGTTGCACGAGCAGCAGCAACAGCGCCATGCTTCTGCAGTTTTGTTTCACAGTGGTGGGCCGGAGGAAGCACCTGACCCAGAAGCAAAGAGGTGATTTTCTACTAGACTCAAAAGTCGCCTCAATATTCAGCAGCAGCAGCAACAGCGCCAAGCTTCTGGAGTTTCGTTTCACAGTGGTGGGCCAGAGGAAGCACCTGATCCAGAGGCAAAGCCTCCCTTTTGATGCTCCTCAATAAAAGCTTCTTCAACTTCTTATCACAGTGGTGGGTCGGAAGCACCTGACCTGGTACAAAGGCGAAGCCTCCTTCGCCCTTCCAGGAGTCGAGCTCGGCACCTGAAGGGTGGAAGTTCACAATAAATTGCCCATCATGTGCACCCTAATAATGTATTGTAGTTTTGGCTTGTGTTGTTTCTGTAATTTAAATGATTCTTGCTGGACAAAGACATTTGACATCATCAAGTGACGTTTACTGGTGTATGTGTGGACACACCACATTTCATCATCACGCTTACGCATATTTTCAGGTACTTTATTGAATAGCCTTTGAGGATAAGGTGACAGCCTCAGGTAGACGTTGGAGGGTTGCTTGCATGCAGCTAGAGTTTTTGTGGCATGCATCTGTTATGTGACATGAAATAGTCAACTCGCCTGAGGAAAGTAGGTTTTTTTTTTAAAAACAATCTACAGATAGAGTATTCTTCATGCATTTGTTATGTGACATGAAATAGTCAGCTCGCTTGAAGAAAGTGGGACACGATTTGATTGCAAATGTTGCGCAAGTACTCTGACAATATCGAGTATGATTCGACCCTTGGGTTTGCCCAAGCCACACCCAGGCCTCTCGATGTGTTTTTGGGCACCCTGCCAGAAGCGAGTCGTGGCCGACCTTCACCCTGCCACTGCAGTGTGCCAATCGCGGCATACTCAGGAAATGGCAGGGTGTTTTGTATTTTCTTGTCGGAACTGGCAGGGTAGAAATCTCGCTAACACTGCTGAGCTCTGCAGACCCGCTCTGAGCAGGACTTCGTCAAATTACAGCCTGTTCCGTCACTGAGCGAGCTTAGCGTGTTAAAGGGACTTAACTAAGTTTCCAGCTTGTCCCAGCGACAAGACAAAGTTCTGGTGTGTTTCTGTGACTCGCCGAATTTCGTAAAGCTTGAGTGACTTCGCCGAATTTCCAGTATGTTTCAGACTTCGCTGAATGTCCAGTGTGCTCCAGTCACTTGGGCGAATTCTCTGAGTGCTTCAGGGACTTGGCCAAGTTCCAGTGTTTCAGTGACTTCGCTGAATGTCGAGTGTGTTCTAGTGACTTGGGCGGATTTCCAGAGTGCTTCAATGACTTAGCCAAATTTCCAGTGTGTTTCAAAGACTTGGCAGCATTTCCAGAGTTTCAGTGTCTTAGCCAAATTCTCTGAATTAGCTGAAATTGGAGAGCACGAGAGTTCGACTCTCAAGGACTCCTTAGCAGGGTAAAAATGACTTAGACTCGGAAAAGGCAGGGCTGACAGGATGCTCTCACCTGGAATTGAAGGGTACGGTTTTACTCATGTCCTGGCGTGTCAGGGCGGTACAAGCGTCGAAGTCAATTTCAGCAGGGTGACCTTAAAAATTCACTCTGAAAAACAGGCTAATCAGGGTAAAATACCCTGACTTCCTGGGGCCTGGCCACACCCCGTAAACCCTAAAAGCCAGATCGCTGTCGGGTTTACCTCGGAATTAGCACACTCACTGGTGTGCTATCGCCAACCCCTGCATCACGGATTAGCGTTTCCTTGGGCCATTCGCCACAGTTTTTTCACTCGTTGCGGGGATTCGCGCAGGCAAATTCCTGTCCGCGCAGCTGCGTTCAGTTAATGAACCCCTTTGTGTTCCTTGCGTTCAGCCGCAATCAGCCCTCTTCAGCTGCGTTCAGCCGCATTCGCTGTGTTTTTTTTCTTCTGCAGGCCTCCTCAAGAGCATTTGAATAGACTGTTTGAAGCAATGCAGAATCTGGTGGTTTCCACCGAAACCCGTTATCGCATCCCCCTCGCACCACGGCCGTCCGATTCAGTCTTAGAGCCCGAGGCACTATCTGATCACGTCAGCGATGCTGCCCTGCAACGCAGCGGGGATTTTGCAGAAGTGTTAGGTTTTGAGCGGTTTGCGGTGGTTGCGGTGGCATGGGACACGGAGGGATCTGTGCTGTATGGCGTCACGGACGAGTGTACTATCTACGGTCTAGATTTAACTACGAGTCGGCTCCTATTCGAGTATCCCTTAGTGCTCTCCGGCGATCTGCCCATCCCAGACAGAATAATCTCCGCGCGCTACCTGCCATCCCATGCCGCCCTCTTTTTGGCGTTTCCCGCGGGGAGATGGGGCTGTTTTTTCCCCAGCGAAGGCGGTCGGTGGCGGAGCTTGGGGGGAGTTCGGGGGACGGGGAGGGGCTGGCGGGGAAGGGATCCGCGAAGGTTTGAGATAGTGGGGGAGCTGACAGGGGGGCTGGCGGCGGTGGTGTGGGCGCCAGACGAGGAGGAAGTGGCGGTGGTAACTGGGGCAGGGCGATTGCTGACCATGACCAGTGATTGGCAGGTGAGGGTGCATACAGTTACAAGAGTCTCGTATTATGCAGCATACGGGTTTATCTGTGGGCGCCAGACGAGGAGGAAGTGCGGTGGTTACTGGGGCAGGGCGATTGCTCACCATGAATAGCGAGCAGGTGAGGGTGCATACAGTTACAGGAGTCGCCTGTCAGAAATCAGACGGGTTTATCGTGGGCGCCAGACGAGGAGGAGGTGGCGGTGGTAACTGGGGCAGGGTAGTTGCTCACTGCGACGAGTGATTGGCAGGTAAGGTGGCAGGTTCCTCTTACAAGGTGAGTTGCAAAAGAAGACTCGAGGGTTTATGCGAGGTTTAGTGCTTATCCAAGACTTCAGCATTTTCAAGGGTTTTATACAGCTGATAACGTGTG